CTATTGTGTATTATACAACATATCGCTAACTTAAAACTTAATAGTAAAACAACAAATAAATATATTATACAAAAGATTTATATTATAAAATAACAAAGCTAACAACGTTTCGAATAATCATTTAAATACTATTTGTCTTGCTGTTTTAGAGACAAAAACATTAATCAAATCTGAATAATTTAGTTATTCAACCATTTCTTTCTCTATTGATAATATAGCTAATCCGTTTATTTTTCTTGTGATATAGTTGATCGGAGGTAAGTCTTGACCAACTTCAATTGGAAAAATTTATTTTCACAAAATATCTCAATCATTTAACAATTAAAGTTTTTAATATAGTTACTATGTTCGCCTGTGTAATTGATCCTACAATAACCACTCATATAAGCCGACCATGCCACAATTATATAAGCCGACAAGACTTTAAACATTTTCAATATATTTAATAACAAATTAGGGCAAGTCATTACTTACCTGAGAAATAGAATTTCGACGAAAATGATAGAATTATGCCGTTGAGAATTCTGCCGTCACAATTCACAAGCTTGAAATAAAAATTTGGCATCAACCACCAATACAAAACCAAAATCAAAAAGTGGAAACCAAACCAAACCATAGACAAAATTCATTCCAGTTGATATTGTTCACCTTACTACTGACACATCTCATAAAAACAACAAACCTAAAATAGTTATGGCACCGACCATGTGCATAAGGTTTTCAAATAACATACAATTGAACATAAGCACAAGTAAAGGAAAACAAAAATCTGGTAACTGGATTGCTACGTATGATTAATGTACTAATGTTATCGCTTCATTTGGGATTTGATAGTTCATTAAATATATTATTAACAGCAGGACAACTAACATATAACATCTTTGCTAATCAATATATGTTTTTATTTTTCAATAGTAATAAAATAGAAGAAACACGAGTAGGGAAGCAAGATCAAAGGAAAAATGAGGCAAACCTTCATCAGCAAGACAACAACACTCTGATTGAGATAATTGTAGTCAAAGGCCCTTCTTAACATCAATCTACCTGAAATAAAACCACATACACAGGCTAAGTAAGAGAAATTGTAATTTTTCAGGGAGTTTACTCTGTCATGAATCTTAACAAGAAAAAATTAATTACATAATGAACATACCATGATCAAATCGAAGAGGACATGCTATAAATTGACAATCAGCACAAAAAAGAGGTAACAAACACTGAAAAAGGGCAATAAATTAGGCCTTTAGGGTTGAAAATGGGCAACTTCTTGTTCTTGTGATTTGTAAGAATGAAGGGAAGGGAGTAGGATTTGGGAACTGACGCGAAGAAGATAAGTCGGGTCGCCCTAGGAAATGAGGCCCTCGTCGAGTCTTTGTCGTTGGTCCAATGATTCTTGGAGTTGGATTGGAGGCGGAGGTCGAGTTGGACATTATAGTCGTTGAAGAGGAGAGGAGGAATGAAATATAAAATCCAATTTTCCAATTTTCCTCATATATATATTGGCCAAAAATAGGCCCATCCGATTTTGGGCCTAGAAGAAAATAATGAATGGAATGGATCCTCTATATTTACCCCAAAAAAAAAAAAAAAAAATATTTGGGCCAAAAATAGGTCCCCTTAGATTTTGGGCATGATGCCCCGGCCTTAGTAGCCTCTTAGCAGGACCGGCTATGGATTTAGATCCCATTTGATTCCTATTTTTTTTCCAAATTTTAATGCTTAGAATAGTATTTTTTTTGAAAATTATGTGGTTGAAAAAAAAATGAAAAATTTTCGATTTACGTGCAATATTATTTTCTGAAAGATTGTATGGTTGAAAATAAGAGAGGAAATAATGAAAGAAAATGGGGGTCAAACCGAGCTTTATTCTACTGACATTGACAACAGTGACATTCTACATTTTTCACATCCTAGCATTTCATTAATACATAAAACCATGGATGTGATGATATATAGCCACCGTTTAGCCCCCATTTCTTAACATTTATATTTTTTCTTATAAATTCATTTTTAACCACACATTTAATGGGATTCACAACTTTTATCAAAATTTACCAAATATCTAATTTTTATCCAAACAAATGGGCTTAATGCAATGTAGAGCTTAAGGTCGACTGAGAAGAAGCATCAAGCCTGGATTAATGTGCCATAGTAGATCAATACATGCAGTAGGATTATAAGAATGAGAAAAAAAGTAAAAAAAGAGAGACTTGAAAGATTGCAATCCATAATATATTGGTCAGAAAACAAGTTTCGGATTTAGATCAAGATTCATGCTGAATAGCATAAAAGATCCCAAGAAGGCTGCGAACAAGTTATCTAACATTGCATTAATGAGAAAATAGAACAATCGTATGGTGAGTTCTATAAGAAAAACTGTTTCCACTGCATCACCTCCTTCAATCACCTTCCACCATAGGTGTAATCTTTGTCCTCAATACCTCTGGAAGGAGTATAGATATTATAGAGATTGCGTTAACAACTCATTCAAGAAGTACGTCCACAACATTGTAAAAAATCTTTATTGAAAATGCTCTCTTTTATTTCAGTCCAGCAAATTAAGGACCTATTTGAAAAGTCAAAAACTAATTTTGCGATTAAGAAGCTGCTTTTGTGGTTGTTTGGAAGATTTCCTCTGTCTAATTAGAAGAACTTTTAGATGAAGTTGGGCAAACGTGGCTTCCTAAAAAAGCCATTCTATGAAAATTAAAAAGCAACTACCCAAATGGGCCCTAATTATGTGTACAAAAATGAATGGAAGGAAGATACTGACCAGTCTTTTTGGAAAAGGAATAACCCTTCTCACTAAACCCCCGTTTGAGCTCCATTATTTCTCATTATATTTAATTAAATTTTTCTCTTTCCTATTTTTAACCATACAATTTTCAATAAAATAATATTACACGTAAATAAAAAACTTTTCAACCACTCATTTTTCAAAAAAAAATACTATTCATCTCATTATAATTTACAAATAATGAAGCTTAAACAACCCCTAATATAGGCTCGGAGATTTGGCAACATGTGGTTTCTCAGATACTCTCCTCCCCCTGAAATTGTGAAACCACTTTCAAGGTAAGTAACATTTGTGAGAAGTTTAAATATTTAAAAATAATTTTTATGCAAGCATTTCTAAAAAATATTTCTTCTCGTACATAAAATTTTATCTTGAGCTTTTAAAGATTCATTGCTAAGAATTAAAACATTTCACCTTTACAAATAAATCCAAAAACATCTAAACTAATGTCATCCATGTTTGACCGTTGAAGTACATTCTTTTGATTGATTTGACGTGAATGCTCAGCTTCTATCTCGAATTTTATTGAACATCAATTGCAAGTCAATTGACAATCTTCAATTAATCAATTTTGCAACAAAAGTTATAACGACTTGAATTCAATTGTTAGATCTAAAAGTAATTTATTTGTTATAATCAAAACATGAAGTCAACCGAACTTCATGAAAAGACTCAAACTAGCCTTTTCTTACCAACTAGTAAGGTTAAGCATGCGAAAAGGCTTCTTCGTATCATTAATATGCTAGCATTTGCCCGCAAAATGCAAGGGTTGTGTCGATTAAAAATTAATATTAGCATGTTCAATGTAAATGAGTAATGATAGACATGTTGAATTTCTCTTTTCTAAAAGTAGCGTCTTCATAGTCTGGTAGAAACAAAGAATACATTGAGAAATGTATTATTTTGGGGGTCATGCTACATGACCACAAACCTTGATACATCGGTTGACACATTACACTCACATGGAGAGGTCGACATTATTTTATTTACCCGGGACCCACACCTCGATTGTTAGAAATGTGTCAAAGAATGTGTTCATTTAGCTTAATTCATTATTTTGACACTATGCAAGTAAAAAAGGATACCATTGAGAAATGTATTATTTTGGGGGTCATGCTACATGACCACAAACCTTGATACATCGGTTGACACATTACACTCACATGGAGAGGTCGACATTATTTTATTTACCCGGGACCCACACCTCGATTGTTAGAAATGTGTCAAAGAATGTGTTCATTTAGCTTAATTCATTATTTTGACACTATGCAAGTAAAAAAGGATACTGTCTCAGAAAATGACGATACTAAAAGGTTACATCTTGGACCAGCTATAACAATCAAACCATAGTTTATAGATAGCCAATCATTCTTGTTCCTATGTTGTAACCTCTCCTCTGTCCAAGACTTAACCTAGGTACTAATATTGCCTGTTAATTTACTGTTGGAAAAACAAATACTTCGTTTTGATCCTACATCTCACTGTAATGGAGATATGTATTACCTTTTCAAACCTTGCGGTTCACCATAATAGGGCCAGGCACTTTGTTTCATCATGCAGGATAATACACATTGTAATAGAAAAATATATAAATAAATAAAATAGTACAGTCAAAAGAGAAATGTAAAGTACACTCCACACATTTTACAGACCCAAAACTATACAAAGAGAACAAAAACATACAACGCCCTTCAATTTAAATCCTCTCAAATCGTTAAGATAAACAATAATATCCACGAAAAAATATAAAGGGAATTCTTGCTAGGACCCTGCATATACATTTTGAAAACTGGCAAAACCTATTTACAGCATGCATTTCAAAGGCAGACCTGTGTAGTCTTACTTCCAACGAACTTCCCAGTGTAGTTCTGGAACTATAAAGGTCGTGTCCAGAACATCATTGCCACTCATACGTGAATTGTTGAGGAGAACTCGCATTGAGGAAACTCATATCCTTGAGCCATCTCCCAAAACATATTTTGTAGCTCCTCAACACTGCATGTCTTACCCTGCATACGGAAACATGGGGTTAGTAAAAGCTCCAAAAAGGAGATTCCAGGACACAAGAAATGTATTACAGCTGACAGACTCTTGCAAAAAGAATTAAGAATCCATCAGTGAAGACGGCAATGGTCTTAAATACTTAATCTTTTCCTAGAATGGAGGTTACAAACAGGTTTGTGAACAAATTTAACCAGTCAAGGTCAAAGCCATAGATTTTCACCACCTAATAAACTACTGATTAGCCAAAATAAAAATATTTTAAAAATGGGAAATAGCAAAGAAGCATGGAGACTGCCTTTCTACCAACCAAAACAAGGCTCAGAAAAAAAAATATCTACCTATTGAATAGCTTTCTTATTTAGGATACTATAAAACCATACACTAAAGTTCTAAAAGAAGATTAAGGGCCCCCCTGTTATAACATTTGCTAAAAACTTCATGTGCAAAAAGCTCAGAGAACTAACTCCAGTCAGAAAAACTAATTGATAAAAGCATAGAAAAAAGGAAAGAACTAACACTCCACACGTTTGTATGAGAAGTCCAAATTCGAACATCCTCCAAATTTGAGGGTTAATTAGATCTGTGAGTGGCAAATGGTGCAAACATAAGCAGTAAGTACTCCCTCCCTGTAATTTTATTTCAGGTTCTGTTCCGATAGTGGGCAGTAGGATTCAAGAGGTCCAATCTGAAAGATCGCAACAATTTGAAAATGAAGTTGATTGCATGCATTTGAAGGATCATGAAAAACTTCTAGGAGATTAATAATTCAAAACCCATAGTTCAGACACATTTTAAGAAACTTCTTCCCCTATTTTTCATTTTTTCCCTTGTAATCTCAATTTGGTTTAAACAACACGAGGCATGTGTGCACCTTATTGTTGAAAGTGAAATAAGTTACTCACTCTTTAGCATTGCTCACACGCTTAAAAGGATCAGAAATCTACCCCCATAAAGATACAATACTGCTAATCATATGTGGTTGTTTTGAATTGAGCCAAATTTCATTTCCAAATATTATTCCATTAATTAGCTAGAACATTTGAAGAATATAACTTTGTTGCATATTCTCTCAAAATGGAATATGAAGAGGAAAACAGTCATTCCAAATGATCCAGCTCAACATTTTTAAGGTTGCTAATTGCTTCACTGCTTATTGTATTTTTAGTTGCCTTAGTAGTAGTGCCACTCGCATGGCCACAGAGGTTATGAGCTGAACGACGCTAATCAAGTGTTGATTAAGTTGGAAATAAGTTATAGCTGAAGCTTGTATTTTGGGTTCCACGTCTTTATATTATATTTGAACATTTTTTGTGAATTTCAAACATGATAGATCTTATCGCTTCATTTTCTATAGAACATGGCTATGAGACTAAGATATCCTGCCTACCTAATTGTATTCGTAAATTATTTTTGTTGTTAACCAATAACTTTCACTTCTAACGTCTCCCATTGAGTCCCCAAACTCTTCTTTTATATATAATGGAAATAGATTGTGCTTAAATGGATTGTGGAGTCACACACACCCGTAATGCACCGACACTGTTGAAGTTTTCTAGTTTTCAATTGCTCGCCTTTGGCTAACCTATAAACCTCTCTCCCTTCTCCGTTCTTTGCCTAGAAAACTCACCAGATTTTTTCACCACATTTTTAACAGCTTTCATGGCATCCTTTCTTGCCTACATACGTCATTCAAGATCTTCACTCACTCATAGTCATTTGCAACCTCATGTAACATGCTCTATTTTTCTCTTAGCTTGATCACTATTCAACCACCGCAACTCCCTGTAGTAAGCTACCCTCCTTTATTATCATTCAAAACCATCTTCAATGTCTTCATTATACAATCACTCATTTTAATCCACATAAAATTTAAAGTAACGTCCAAAATCCCAAGTGGAGTCCCCAAACACTTGATGGTTCACTTATCATCCTTCAGTTCCACCATTTCACCTTAAGATCATTCATATTCCTTTTCATATTAGATTGTTGCCTAAAGAATATATCTAAAACCAAAACTGTTCAGTGAGATTAAAGGGATTCATGAATCCTCGTACCAAGAAAGACTACCAGCCCAAGCCTTCATGGTAAAAGTGTTCATCCTCTGATCGGGAAAAAAGTGCTTGTTAGTATCAGATCACAAGCCTAAGGGTAATTCTAGAAAGACACTTCAACATCATACTTGTTTAAAAAATCAAATCCTTATGTATCACATCAAAAGCACCATGGCCCTTCCCTATGTGCCTATTAATGTCTATCCTTCAGGTACTCAATAACACCTCCATATCCTCCCAAAATTTCAATTTAACCTAATTTCCTAATCTCATTTGTCTAACCACGAATGCCCGATGAATATCCGACAGAAACTGCTTCTAGAGACATTGATGTTTCTAAATCGTGTAACAAGTGAATGATATACAAACAGAGCATTATCTTTTAATTATAATTGCTTCAAGATAATAATCTAAAATTTCATTTTTAAGGAGTTACATCAACTTTCATAAAAATTAAAAGCAAGAAAGCATCATTGATCATAAGAGTTGAACCTTAATGTAATTGTCTGGCCACCAACAAAAAGATCGTGTTAACGTTATGTACTTCTTGATAAAGATAAATTGAAGATATGGCACATTACACCTTTAATACAGATGACACTAATGGCGAAACTCGGGGTCATCAGCACATATGACAATTATTATGTCATCCTTTTCAGCCTGTAGCCCAATTCAATGGAAAAATTATTTTTCAAACCAAATGAAAGCAGTTCCAAATTTACATGGGAGAAGGAATCTAACTAACAACTTGAAGACTACCACAGATTTCTAAGATCATAGAAACACTAAAAAAGTCAACAATATGATGATTATATATAACAAGTACAGTACATTAATACTATAGCAAAATTAAAGTAGATTGAGCTATCCAATAGTTAAACACCAAACTGAGGACCAGGCATTTGAAATACATATATTTCTTTAAGGATTAAGTAATTTCATTATTCATGGAAAATAGATAAAATAATTAATAATGCCACTAGTTTTGTCAAGCTCATATTTAACTTTGCTGCCTTTTCCAATATGAATCACCTGCCATGTAAGTTGAGATCAATAAATGAAACTATGAATTAATTGGTTTATTGCTTCATCACAGTTAAGTTTAGATATGTTATAAGAAAAATTTGACCAACACTCAGGTAAGATAAATATGGCATGGTGACAGGATACAAGGGAATACAGATTTTCAACAGTGAAAATGTAAGTATTTCACATCTAACTTACTCGCGTGGAAGTTAATAATGGTAAACATAGACGGCATGGTCCGCTCGATTCTTGCACTGTGTACATGACAACAAGGGAATAGCATATAGTACCCTTACCACTCTAGCTCACATATAGTAATGCATATTTGATAAACTAAAAAGGATTTCGCTATGCGTAAAAGTTTCGAGACCACTCACACGGTTAAAAATTGCTGGAGCTCCTAGCCTACACAAATATCAAATCAAAGTTAATCGTAAAACGGATAAAATCATAACCATGAGGTTAAGGGGGAAAACCTAGAAAATGGAAACCATCAAATACAGTTTTCTTCCCGACAATCAACAGAAAAATTGGAATTAGGTTGAAGGCACAAGCAAAATTGTCGACGGATTTTTCTCCCTGTGTGAAGATGGAATTTGGAGAGGTTACTTTCGGTGGAGGAGTGAAAGGAGGAGTCTTGGAAAGGAAGAATGAGAATTGAGACTCACAGCAGAAGAGCTTATACGGATTCCAGATATTTTATTCATTTATTGTTATTATATCCTTTAACATAAGACACACAAAGAAAAAACAAATAATTAAACAAAACCAGTTCCAAATAGGTCAAGTGTGAAAATCAATGTGACAAAATGAATAGTGAATTCAAGTTCTCTCTTTTAGGAGGAGTGGTGAAATATATATAAGATTCAGTGTCTAACATGTACTCTCCAAGGTTATTTGAATTTCAAATTGGGGATCGCTATAGTTCCTCATAGCATGAATTGCCTTGCTCCTGTTATTAACTAACAATTTCATGTAATCAAAGTTCAGCATTGATTAAATGGTGCCTGCACTGAACATATTCCTGGCTCCGCCCCTGTAGTAAACCTTTTATATTTTGAGGAAAGGGGATGATAAATTATTAATGACGGAGGGCAAGGCAATGAGCTGCTTCGTTTAAGGGAGAAATTGTTGAGACAATTGTGAACAAAATCCTTAGTGACTAGAATTAAAGCGATGAGGTTACAAGCAATTATGCTACTCTACTTAATGGGCTAATCTTTTGGGGATGGAATCTCAATTCATAATATAAATTTTGATCAACTCATTTAGATTGTTTGATTCGACCAATTATTCAAGTAAAACACCCATTTCTAAAGTAGTTCAATTACTTTCAGTTAGCTGATTGAGTTAACTCACCTTACAAACGTGACATTAATTTTAAAGAAAAATTATCAGATAATAAACCAGAAGAAATGAAGAAGGTGAGAAATGGGGAAAATTTTTTGATATAGAAAGTGACAAATAAGTTAATTGTTCACTGAATTAAAAGAGGAAGTGAAGACACTTCAAGAGAACAAAAACCAGACAACTGGGTAGAGCATGCGAAAAACAAAGAGATGAATCCATTTTCATCACAAATTGTGGTGGTCCAGATACGTTTATGAACACATACCTCTCCATTGGACCGACTGCATATTAACTGCTTAAGCATCAACTGATCACCATTAGAAATAAGAACTTGAATCCAGGTGGCTTTTCAATTGCAGTTCATCAGGTTCTTCCTTGAACTTTTTTGACTCCATGTAATGACGAATGTTCACTATGACCTTGTTCAACTTCGCGTTCAACTCTGGATCGCCTTCTTTCAGCGAGTTGAGAAAATCACGAGCAATGATGTTAAGCAACTTCTCAAACTGAGTTCTGTATCTCCTGTAAAGTGCAAATCCAGCCATCTGTGCACCAAAATATTTCATCTTTTAAGCACATTTAAAAGCTTGTTTGGCACTATTTATAATATGTTTATTGGTAAAACCTACTTTTTATCCACGTATTCGTGAAATCCACAAGGACTACCAGTCTAATTATAATATAAAGTTATAAACCTTTTATAATCACTTCCCAAACACGCACTTAAAATGAGTCGGGGAATGAGATTTGAAAATTCAGCATCAACTTACCTCAAGAAATGATTGCAAAGCAACAGCAGTATACAGGTTTGCCCGGAGAGCATTCAAGAATCTGGCAAGCCATGCCCAGCCTTCTCTAAGTCCATGCAGGTTTTGAAAGCCGTTAACTTCAGTCTGCCATATATGCATATTTTTCAAAATTAAAGAAAAGAAGATAGACAGACGAGCGCCCGCCAGCATATCATCATTGCATTTTCCAACATTGTTAAAATTCAGGAAGTAACAGTCATAAACCTGAACTAGAGCTCCATATAGTTTCATGTATGAAGTTAACCTTTCTACATAACTATCAGTACTATCAATCTTCCCATCTTTTTCCTCATAACCAATGACTTTGTAGTAAGCATCTTTTGTCTTAAAACGTGCCTAAAATAGAAAAAGACAGTTCAAAATCCATACACCAAGGATCAGCACTAGTAACAGAAACAAGAAGAAAAACACTTGACCTGTAATACAAAAAAGAAACAGAGAAAGAGGAGATAGAAAAAATAGATGTCTTTAAGCTTTACAGGGTCTTCATGCCACAAGACTATTGTGCAGACAAGAGCTAAAATAATAAATTAAATATCACAGGCTTTTCCTAGTGAAACCATAATCAACTGTAGGACATACAAAAATAAAAAATAAAAATACAAGAATAAAGAGGAATTACCACAAAGTAACTTATATGCTTTGGTACAGTGTAGATGCAAGCTCTGTTCAACTCAGCTAGAAGAATATCCGGGGCAAGAGGGATCTATGTTCAAGGAAATAAATCATGAAATTGCAAAGAAGCTGAGACCATAAAATCATTGCTGATTTAATCAAGAATCATGAATTATACAGGAGAGATGTGAGATGCCCATTTTTAGGAAAACTAAAATTGAACAAAAGCCTTAGATAATTCTGAAATAATTTGTGAATGTGGGGATGAGGGATGAGGGGGATCTGTGTAAGAAGGAAATAAATCATAGAATTGCAAATAAGCCAAGAACATAAAATTAAGATTTAATTGAGAGACAAGATGTATAGAGACAAAAGTAAAACAAATTTTTCTTTCCAAGAGTCTTCAGATAATTTTGAATTATGCGTAAGAGTTTGTATGTGTGTGGGAGGTGGGGTGGAGTGGTGGCTGAGACCAGAATGAAGCAAAGAAGATCATTTAAACATATGCAATAGTAGGGATATAGTAGCGTATTTTACCTTCGATGTCACAAGAACAATGAAACGACTATAAGCAAAAGCGATACCACTGAAGCTTTTTTGAGGATTTGCACTCTGGGACACAACCTGCATAATTTAAGACCCAAAAAGATGTTAGTACGTTCATCACATCCTGTTTTGTAAACACCCAAAAATATAAAAAAATACCATTCTGAACATGCTAGAAATATCTAACGATCTTACCTTCTCTGCAAACATTAGGATACTGATGGATTGGGGACATTCTGGACTATTAATTAGCTTTACTAACGCATCTGCTTTTGTTCTGGACAAAGAGAATCAAACTGTTGCATATCAAACCAGTTGTGTATTGACAGCCCCATATAAATATGAAAAGATTCAGGTTTTGGAGACCCAAAAGCGAAAGCCATTAACACAGGTGTTAACGAATTTAGGACTCAACTGACATTTTCTATTGATGCAGAGATTCTTTTGATTTGTCTCGCAATATGCTGTCCATGTCCATGATAATCCTGCTGGAACAAACAAATTGTCAATGATAGTTTATATAAGCAAGAAAATTATCGTAAGATTCCAGAAGAACGACATCCATACATCAAATGAACAACGCTGCACAACAAACCCAGATTACAGAACGTTAAGGATAAAAACAACTAACCTCTTGCATGACAACTAATTTCCACCCATCACAACCTATGTGCTCTAAATTTGTTTGATGAATAGTTGCATGTTGAGAAGTTTTAGTACATAAAACATAAAAATGAGGAGAACGTAGCAAAAATATATTCACAATTTATCATTACAGAGTTAAAACAATCTAATGCCAGAGCTTCAGAACTCAATCTGCCATCATTTCTCTAATGATTTACCTTATTAGTGCTCAATCGTATAGCCTCATTTTTTGCAGATATTCTTTATAAGTCAGCAATCTTCTTTCCTCCAATTCTAGAGCATTTCGTGCAGCTTTGGTTATATTTCCAGCCACCATATTTGATAGTTGAAACCGCACATAAGAAAAGAGACGAGGGTCAAATTTTTCTCTCTCTTCTCAATGACACACAAACACACATATACCTGATAATTGGACTTCTTTCTTAAAATCATTTCCGGCCACTGCGGATTGTCCAACAGTCTCCTTAGAATCAACTACAGTCATGGTAGCAGAATCTGTTTTAGTTTCTACAGTAATTTTCATTGCAGCTTCTTGAGCAGCTCTTTCCTCAGCTTCCAGTGCTTTTTTAGCCTTTTCATCTATTTCAGCTTTTAGCCTTGCCTGCATCAACTAAACAAGCTATCAAAAATTATATTGAGCTAATGATTCACACAACATTTCTACCATATAAAAATGAACCACGAGTTTCTAAAAAAGCAGTCAAACTGCAGGTATGAATTGCAGAATCTAAGCCACTGAATTCACGTGACAATATGACACTATAAAAGAAAGCTAGAAGAAATTCAGACAAAATGAGAAAGAACCTCTTCTTCTGCTTTAATCTTTCCTAGCAACAATTTTTCTTTGCCTTTTCCTTTCGTTTAACCTCTTCTCGAACGGCATCATCTCTTATTCTTCTTTCTTCTATTTGGGATCTATGCTCATGATCCCTCTGTACAGCAGTCAAGTGACTATCAAGTGCTTCCGCACTGCAGCAACACAACATAATTGTAAGCAAGTTCTTCTCCTTCAAATTAAACTATAGGAAAAAATATGATAAACATTACCCCATGTCCCGCTCAAAAAAAATTAATTGAGGTCCCTCTATAACAACTTAACGTCTTAGATGAGGTGGTTCAATAAGGTAACCAAGCAAGCAAAGGTCCTAAGTTCAAGTTTCAATGTGCCACACATTTATAAAAATGAGCAATTGAGCACGAGTCACAATTACCTTTAATTAAAAAAAAATTAAAAAATAATAATAATAAGAAGAAGAAGAAGAAGAATTGGTCCACATATGAGGGCATGCTGAACACTAAATACAAATGAATAAATGCATTCCTCTTTAATGGTTTAGGCTTTTAGGTTTCATGTTCAACATACGCCATAATATAAGCAAGTAAAAAAAATCACAATCAAATCAATGTTGCAGATCTGCAAATTAGGGGGAATTTCCTACGTGCATATAACTATGTTAGTGTTTCTAATACACAAAAGCCAAATAAATACTCTTCAATAATATCTTATGTCCTTAAGAGCATTATGAGTATCTAGTAAAAGTTAAAAGATGTTATCTCCACTGCTAATCATAACTATGTTTAGGCTACAATTAATTCTTCTGCAGTGGGGACTACAATGTACTTAAATCTCATTTAGTGCATCTTTTAATTCTAATTAAATTACAATAATTCTAGGTCAATGTTGACCAAGTTACAAAATTGAGGTATCTCATCTTCAAGCAAGTAGCCCACAAGTACAATTCAGTAACTAGAATCTATAAAATGCTAGCTCTACTAAAATTATGGCACGAAATCAACATCCATAATAAAACTAAGCACCCATTTGATCCCCATTTTTGGAAATGAAAATGGGTGAAATAGTGTTTTTTTGAAAAATGAATGATTGAAAAAGAAGGAAAAGTTAATAATTCAACAAAAAGAGCACATAAGAACAAAAAGAGCTATTCAAGTGAATTAAAACTAGTTAATAATTCAACAAAAAGAGCACATAAGAACACACACAATTGAGAAATGCCACATGCCTTTTGGTACGTTTAGCGATGCAATGAGTAGAAAAGCTATTCAAGTGCTTCAAAAAGTGTGTGCTCAAAGTAAAAGAAGTAAAACTATAAATCAATCGCCTTAAAGTTTATTTAAGAAGCACAAATGGGCTTTGGGGCAGTGGTTTTTAAAGCATGAGCCAGGTTCATAGTGTCATAGATGTTGCCAAGCACAAAATTCCAAAATCTATATGTAAACATTTTAGTGCCAGCCAATCATTAAGTACAAATGTCACTAATCAAGCAAATAAACCAGAATTTTCACTTTCTAGCAAAGCAATTAGAAATTAAATAACTAAATCTGCCCACCTTAAGACTGAACTGAAGGTCATGAATTATCTCGGGAGCGCTCCTTCCACTAATCCCACTTTATTCATCAAACATGGGATTCCAAGAGGTAATTTTTCTTCAGAATCATCACTATCAGCAAGAGAACAAAATTTTTAACAATCAGATTAAAGTTAAGAAGAAATTAACCAAATTCAAGGAGGGAAAAAAAATGAATGCCTCTTGAAAAAGTTCCTCATAGAAAAAATCATGGAAATTTAAATTTATATGGTTTCATTTTTGTGTTGGAAAAGATTGTCAAAATTTTCGATTTCGTTCTCCATCATCTTTTTTATATAGAATTAAGGTGTCTTGATGGAAAATATTCCTGTTATGCATTGCCATTCCATTTTTACAATTTTTGAAATGATTGTGTTCAGAAAGACCTTAGCACCTCAGCTCCTAAATATTTGAAGGGTTAAGGACATCAATGATCATTCTCCTATATATATTGCACAAGCTGAAAGATAGAATTGCAAAATAAAACATCACTCACAACCTCGAGAAATTAGGCTAGCATCATATTTAATCAATTGTTCAAACACCTTTATTCCGTTTTCTTTTGGCACATTTAGATCAAATTTTCTAGCAGATATAATTATAAGTAAAGAGAAGTACAACCTGATTGATGAGTCTAAATTAAAAATTTCCCAAAATTTATGCAAGTGAAACGATTTAGCAATCAACATTCAAATAAAACCTGAATAATGAGAATGAGTAATTAACAATAGCACATAGGAGTAAATTTTGTAAACAAATAAGCAATATACAAATAATTTCCAGGCCTTAAACAGTTAATTATGCATTGTAAAAAAATAATATACAAATCTTTTCTGTTGCCAATATTTTCACTATGTAATTCATCAAAATCTAGAGAAATTAAAAGCTCAAATCAATAGCTCTGCTGTCAATTATGCACTTGCAAGTAAAGATTCATGTGAAAGTAAAGATTTCTTTATTCAAAACCCTCAATAAGTTAGCCCGCAAAATTTACACTTCGAAAGTGTAGCAGAAATTTACACTTTTCTTTAAGAAACCCCAAAATACTGCTTTTTCTCACTGCCCACGAGCAACTTAGCAGAATTTCTGTACAAATTCAGTGCCTTCACTCCAAAAAAAAATCACAACTATTTAACCATAACCCTGCTATCATTATGTATTTGCAAGTAAGCGAAACACACATTAACATTAATTTGGTTATCACCTCACATTCAACAAAAAGTATACCTAAATTGTACGCGTTTGCAGAAGTTGAAATCAGCCAAAAGCATTTTAGGATCTGCCGAAATCGGATGAACCATCAATTATCCGGTATTGCGAAGGAAGGAAAATTCGTGGCGGGAGGGGAAAAGGAGAAGGAAAGCTTCGACGCTTAAAAGGTTAGGAGGCTTTCTGTTTGCATTTCTGTTTTCTATTTTTTCTGAAATCATTTTTCATTTTCTGTTTGAGGCCTCATTTTTGAGATTATGAAAAACAAGTTTGGTTTCTCAATCTGAAAAACATAAAAATTAGAAAATGTGTTTTGTTCAAAAAATTTTGAAAACTCCCATTCCGCTTCTCTTTTTCACTCTCAATACCACCACCTCCAAAACATCACTTTCCGACCACCGGATCATAGCAGCAACTTGAAGCCCACAATGTCATCCACGCACCCGACCCAATAGCTGGCCTTAACTCCGGCCGAATAGGCTAGGATTTCGGCTCAAAAGAGGCCAATCGCGAGACATTAGAACGGTAGAAAACTCCCATTCCGACGAAGATTTCTGCATGAATTGATGAAATTAAAGTATTATCCATGGTTGTAGAGACATACCTAATACTCGACTTTCGCCAATCGACTGGTGCCAATCCCCAAAAACACAAATCGAAGCAGGCAGGTTTGATTCGCGACTGCCATGTTTGATTGATTCACATTAGAATGAAATGGTGCATTATTGGTTGATGTTAGGACATGATATTGTTCGCCTGGATGAGGGCTATCGAGTGTTGGTGGTGCGCGACCGTGGGCATCGTCGGAGGTGGATATTCCGGCGGAAAAGGGGTTGTGACATTCGTGGGCTGGATTTTCTGTTGCTTCGTGTTGATTTGTGGCTGTTGGTTAGTTGGAGATTGTAGAGGGGAAGGAGGCGAGGCTAATGGTGGTTGCATCCGGTGGTTTGGCAGCCGAAAGATGGTGGTTTGGCGGCCGGAAAAGTGAGTAGAAGGAGAGAGCCGAGAGTTGAACGGTGAAAAGGAAATGCCGTTTGAGTGTTTTCAATGTTTGGCTATTTTCAACTGAAAACACTCAAAATACCAAAAAGTCGTTTTGGGTTTTTTTTGTTAAATTTTCCCTTGTTTTCAAAAAGCGTTTTCGAAAATAGTCGACCAAACGCATTTTCGATTTTTGAGAAAATGGAAAACGGAAGATGGCCCGAAAAAGCCAAAAAGAACGCACCATTAACCTTGTTTTTCGGCTTCACTTAACTTTGAAGTATCTACAAAATTTCATTGTTGGTCCCCAAATGTTTATTATAGTTACATGATCAACCTCCAATAACATAAATCTTATAAATTATATTGAAATATATTCTATTTCCCTACACAAGATTCACACAATAATTTAACTAATATTTAGCTCCTGCTTAATTTGAATAAAAACTCTGATAAAAATCTAAGTCGAAGCTAATAATTAATTTTTATCATATATTTTATGAGACTAATAATTTTTATCGAATTCTCAACCATACATTTAGCCCCTGTTTGAGCTCATTAAAAATAGTTTTTGAAAAAAGAAGAAGAAGAAGAAGGTATTTTGAAATAGTGATTTATTGGAGAATGAGTTGTTAAAATTAAGAAAAAAATTTGAATTTACATGTAATATTATTTTATTAAAAATATGTGGTTGAAAAAAAAAAGATAACAATGCATTTTGGAATAAAATGAAACCCAAACAAGGACTTTATTAATTTTTATCAAAATATATTTGAAATTTTATTTTTTAGCTACACCAAACAGGACTTAAACGGTTTAGTGTATTTCAAATTTGACTGGTTAACTATGGAGGCAAACTTGTTACTTTTAAAATGTTTAGGCCAACTTGTTACTTACTGGTTAATAAATTGGTAATTGTGAAATTTTTTTCTTTTTTTCATTTTTTTTTATATCTAGGTATCCCAACTTACATTAGACTAAATTCTGGACCCCCAAGACCCTTGCCCCTAGAACCTTGGAGGGGGTAAATCGCGGGTTATACCTCAATTGGATCATAGGTTCTCCTTACTGCCTGTACACTTCTGCGTACAAGAGATCCTCCTCCAAAGTGATTGCTCCATACCAAATAAATCTGGCCGCAGGTTCCCACCAGGATTCGAACCTCCACCCTGCCGCTGGAAGCAAGACAAATGTTGATTGATCCACCAGTTATGCTGTGCCCCGGGGGGCGTGAAATTTTTTTCTTTTGTGCAACAAAATGGTGGTGCGATTGGTTTTATGTGGAGCAAAATATCGAATAAGCTTTTGATTGATAAATTATATAAACTCAAACCTTTCAGCATATACAATTTTAATAACTAGATTTACCGAAGCAAAATATTGGAACCTAACACTTGATACTTTTGGTTCACTAACAGCTACACCACAATCCTTTATCTATTTATACCTTTTCAGTTATCATCTCACAAACACGAGTATTTTTGTTATTCTTCACCCTACATTTATCGACCCGTCTATTAAATTTTAAGATCAATATAAAAAAGAAAGACATAACTAAGAGCAACTAAAACTCCGGTCAATGGTGGGCAAGTAGAAGATTTATACTCTAAGCGACATTGATGTGTAGTGAATAGACAATTAATCTAAAATTGATCTTTAATGAGTTCTAAATATACGATTCAATATTACTACCTATTTATCTTTTGTCTACCGTAAATCAAAATAAATAAAATGGAGAGAAAAGGGAGAAAAATCTCTAAGGCACCGTTTGATAGGGGATAATTTCCATGGAAAGTGGAAATTAATTTCCATCTTTGGCAAATTTGAGTGTTTGATGGGAAAGAAGTTCCATGGAATTCATTTTCCATGCAAGCCTTACACGTGTCTCTTTTCCTCACAATCAAGGAATTGGTTTTCCCACCTATATGGTGAAAAAATGAATTCCAGGTTTTTTATTTTTTTTGGCAAAGGAAAAGAATTTTAGGAACAATTATAAAAAATGATATTTATTAAATTGACAATTTTCATATAAAATAAAACCAAACGAATATCAAAATGTAGATGATTTTTGATCTTTTTTTTTTGCAATGGAAACAAATTCTATCCCCAATACCTTTAAATTTTATCCATTTTGTTGACAATTTTCATGTAAAATAAAACTAAACGAACATCAAAAAACACTTTAATTTAAACATTTTTCATGTGAAAAATTATACCAATCAAACACAATAATTTACAATTCTCAGGAAAACAATTTCTCATCAATTCAATTCCCTGTAATTTATTTTATTTCCACCCAAATTCCACATTTGTAATCAAACGAACCCTAAGATCATAAGCAAAATTAAATACATTGTTTAGTAGAAGTCTAATAGAACCTCTAAATATAGACAAAGTTCTACACAAATTTATTTTATTTTTTTTGCCACGTCAACTTTATAGTGGGTAAGATAAAGTTGAAGAGAATTTGTTAGATACGGTCCATTTCACGTCCATTTCACTTATGTGAAAATTTTATTTTTTTAAGTGACCAACAATAATATTAGAAAATGTTAGGAAAATAGAAAGAGCGAAAATTATATTGAACGGCTTAACATTCTTCAATTCCCGGCCAATCCGTCAAAATCGTTCCATTTGTTGGAGTTGCAGCATTGAAAATAACTAAGGCCATGTTTGATTGGCCATTATTTTTCATGAAAAATGGAATTCAAATTCAAATTTTCACTTTTTGACTGTTTGATAGCATATTTCTTTTTCCATAGAATTGATTTTCTTAGTTTTCTCGGAAAGTGTTGATTTTCTTGGTTTTATATGTAGGCTGTCGATTTTTTATTTTTTATTTTTCGGTTTTTTTTGGCAATAAAAACAAATTCTATCCCTAATTATAAAAAAAAATATTTTCCTTTAATTGACAATTTTCATGTAACAAAAAGTCAAATGAACACCAAAAAATAGATGATTATCTTGGCTTTTTTTTTTTTGTAATGAAAACAAATTCTATTTCCAATATCAATAAATTTCATCCCTTTAATTAATAATTTTTATATAAAACAAAGTCAAACGAACACTATTTCATCCCTTTAATTAATAATTTTCATGTAAGATAAAGTCAAACGAACACTAAAAAACACTTTTATTTCAATATTTTTCACGTGAAAAATTATACCAATCAAACACGATAATTGACAATTCCAAGTAAAATAATTTATAGGCAATTCAATTCCCTAAAATTCGTTTTCTTTTCACACAAATTCCATTTTTGCAATTAAATGGACCCTAAATGGACAAACAAGGCAGTTAAAAAAATTGCAATCCTTCCGGTTGATTAATCCTGCTTTTCACCTTGGAATAGGTGATAAACTCTCCCGACCCCATCGTCTATGGTAAATTTAACTCGAAACAAATGGAAAAGTCATAAACGTCCCCTCTGCAACGTAAGTAACACGTTCAATAGCTATGAATGTGAATGGGAAATAGTATGAATTATGAAATATACAGTTAAATTATACTTTTTCCATGAAGAACTATTATACTAAAGCATAGAGGGAAAAAAAAAAAAAAATTTGAAATCGACTCTTTTGAATTGTAACCCTTTGATTTGTAATCCTTAGATTTGGTGGTCCTATAAATCCAAAAGCTTTACTTTAGTGTGCACTGCGTTGTAAGTTTTCCAAAGGACATCATCTCTTAGGTTGGGCATGCGTGACCACGTGGCTATAATTTTCTTGGAGTCTTTCCAACATCAATCCACGAATAACATCCAACTAAATGGGTACCACTTGATAGACAAAATAAATTGCCATTCAATATGGCACGTATAAGATTCGACAAAAGGTCTCGATCTCAAGTTTCGTCAAAAATATAATCATAAAATGAGAAATAAACATCAAGTATTGATCCTGACAAATTTAGCATCTTTTTGTGACAAATTTAGCATCTTTTTGTCAAACATTGAAATTTACTTCTTTTTCTAATTATTCTATCAAATTTTAATTTTATTATGACATCCATAAGGACTACTAATTTGTTCATTACACATTTTGTGGGACCAATATTTTTCCTCCTAAAAAGTTACTAATAATTTTATCTGAACGCCCACTTAGAATTTGTATATTAATTTTCTTTTGCCATTTCGTTCAATTTATTGCTACATGCGATATGGAAGAGTAAAAGTAATTAAGCCCATGTTTGATTCCTATTTTTAGAAAAAAAAAATACATTCTCAAACAGTATTTTGACATCATTTTAATTACACATTCTTCAATAAAATAATATTAAATGCAATATCAAAATTTTTCCTTATTTTTTAACCATATATTCTCACCAATATACTATTCAAAATTTCATTATTATCAAAAGAATGAGGCTTAAAGGGCTAAATCGTTAACAATTACGATAGGTTTATTGTATCTCTTACCTAACTTGTTCCAACGAGATCTGATTGCCTTTATAAATTTGAGCCTCTTCAAGCCCACACAACACATGACACCACGTAAAAAAAAGGTTGAACCTTATAACATGAATCTCATAAATCTAAACGTTTTTCGTCAAGTATCTAATACACGACTTTCCTTTAAATAGTTAACCAACGAAAATAATTAGCTAGCATTCACAAACCTTCAAAGCGCAGCTCGATACATAATACTTGAAAAAATCTAATAGTATGACATTCGGATCCATTCTCATGTCTCACCGCCAAGGTGAAAAAAAAAATATATATATATATATATATATAACGTGAATGTCTTCCAATCCACTTTATCAAATACGTGTTTAAGATGGAGTCTTGACTCTCGAGCCCTAATACCATGCCTTTCTCAAACTCCATGCTAAGCTTGAAATCAGTTATTATATGTGAAAACAACCAGAGTTCCCTTGGAATAAAAGAAACGTCCCAAAGCAACATAAAATAAAAACATGCCACAATAAAATAATATCGGACCCTTGTCTGGTAATTTATCATATACTCCTTGTGGACCTTGGTACATAAATAGGATTGAAGATTTTTCCTCTATCCAATGCCCCCTCTCCAAATTCTTAGGAAGAAAAACGATAACATGGGCAGTTCCTCCAT